ATCAGGATCTTGAAAAGAGCACACTTGTTCATAGTCTTCTTTCCAAACCCAAAGCATGAGGAAGAATAAGGCTTTTACTGCAGTTCATCATTTTTCACATTTCGTAAGGGTTAACAGGGTTTCATTGATAATAAGCTGACAAATGAATATCAAAATGGGGGCTTTACTTTGGTTGATGTTGTTTGTTGCATCAAATCAAGTGATTTTCTCTTTAAATAATAAAAGTTCTAAAGTAAGTTTCTATTCATCAATGTACCAGAGCTCAGTGTAGCTGCATTAATAATCTACTGCTATTATCTGGTCTGTCTACAAATGAACCTATCTAGCACACTCACTGAGGTCCCAAGTACCACACAGTGTAAACCACCATATGTACAGGAAAAAAAGTTTCTTGACTTTCAATATCCCTTTCCTCTCAAACTATAACATTACTTTTTATTCACAGAGTAGCTAAAAGCACACACTTAAAGATACAAACACTCCCCTACAAAAAGTTGTGCCATCCTGAAGCAAAGGAAAAAAAAATTAACAGCTAAAACCACATACTACCATACTCTTGACATTTGCTTAACAAAACATTTCTTTTTGGCTCTCTAATTACAGATAGTGAAGAGACTGATTACATAAAAATATTGCTAAGGGGGGGGGAGGGTCTATGTGATCCTCAATGGAAGAATGGAGTAGGTTTAGAGTCAGGGAAGGGTGAGTAATGAAGGGAAGGGTGAGTAATGAAGGGAATGAAGGCAGCTTGCATCCCATGCTCTCACTAGAATGCTGACACATGTTTGCCTCAGTAAGCCAGTGGGAGAGTACTGTAGACACAATGAATCTTGCACAAGATATAGTCAAGAGAAACAGTCACCTACACCCAGTTAAATAATGGTAGATTCAACCATCTTCAAAAGCCGCATAATACACTTGACTAGCTCTCCACAAAGAGGAGGGATTGGTGAATACAGTGTTATACATTCCTCAGTTTTGACCAACACAGTGGACTAATTTCTGGTTCTAGAGACTTCAATTAAACATTATAATTAATAAATACATTACACTGCTATTACAAAAATTCCAACATCTTTCTTAAATACAGCTATAGTAAAGATATGGGCATTAGCTCTGAGTAGTTGTGGACATGAGGGGGTTGTACTGTAGACTCAACCAGCTTGTGGTATTTTTATTCACAGTGCATTGGAATGATGATGGAAAAATGCACCTCCACTTTTGATAATGCAGAATCATTACATACTACATGCATGGCCTGACCTGTGAGCTGATGGTATTATCAGCATAAAAACTGTTGAACAGTTTAACCCTACATGAAATATGTATTTATTTAATATACTTGCATATTAATCACTTAGCCTTTCATATGAAACTTTGATAAAAACACATTTGTTCTTGTTATCTGTGACTGCAGATACTTCCTTAAGTAAATGAAACAATCATGAAAATGTAAAATTTTTGAAAAGTGACAATAAGCAAAACAAATAATAACAGGATTCTATGGCCTTCCTTCACATCGACAAGTATTTATGTTAATTACGAAGTAGTTCCATTTGTTAAATGAAAAAAAAAAATTGATCTGGAAACCTGGTGTATTTCACATAAAAGGTAAAAATAAATCAAGCTACCTCTTCCTTCAGTATGTATTATGACACTTTGAGTTCAGGAATAATTAATCTTTCTCTAAAACTTTTATGATACTTCAATAAATACTCATCCCCAATAAAGATGAATCATTAAACTAATTGTATACCATCAGTTTTTATTACTTGTGTGTAAGTATGATTAAGCTGTAAGTACTTCTATGTACTTTGTGAAGCAGGAATCACATATAATAACAATAAGGATATATTCTAATGAACATTTTTTTGCTTCATGATACTATATATCACAGGTTGGATAACCTATTCCTAACATATATGGAATGTACACAAACAATATGTGCTTACAGTTTTCTTTAAAATTTGGTTGAACATTACAATCTTTCTCCTGTCAGCCATTTAAAACATAATACTGAATTCCATCATGCTATTTGATTTCATACAACTGTTTTACATACATTCAATACTCTTATATGGCTAATATTATCATCTAATTACCTTGACTGTAACATATACAAAGGTACAACACCTCTTACATTCTTCTTCCATTTTGCCTTATAATATAATTAAAGCTCACATTACACATAAGCAGTTTTAATGGAGTCAAATTCTCATTAAAACAGCTTACCTGTATTGTGGGATTTTCACTTTCCTAATTAAAGCTGTGTTGCTCCAGGAACATTTACTGTGGCTGCGACCAATCCATACCGACGCAGCTGCATGGACTGAACACAGTGCCACATGTCAGTACGCGGATTGTACTTCTCCACAGTATTGAGATTAGACTCCCCACTAAAGCCACCCAGGCAATATATTCTTCCACGACTTACAGTCACACCGAAACTGCTGCGAGGGCTGATCATGGACGACACTGGAAAGGATGTATTTGTAAATTATTTGTAAAAAAAAAAAAGCAATACACATGTATCAAGAAGTGTGCTGGGACAAGCCCCTCATGATTTCAGTATTTTTCTTTTCTTTTCTTTTCTTTTCTTTTTTACATGTTTCTACATCTTAGTGGTTCTTAAAGACTTCTCAGTGATGGTACCCTTAACTCACATAATCTTTTTGTTTACCCTCCCCACCACAAGTGCAAATTTACCTTTACAGCAAATGCATCTCTGCCTGTTCTACAAACATACAATTATCAGATGAATGAGAGCAATTCACTACCGTAACTAAAAATAGCAGACTGCATGTTACCTGTCGTCCACTGATCACGGAGGGGGTCATAGCGCTCAACAGAGCTAAGCCATCGTGCTCCATCATATCCTCCTATAGCGTAAAGGTGGTCATTTATAACTGCCACTCCATGGTAGGCTCGGGCTTGAGAGAGAGAAGCTGTCAAAACAATACAAATTTCATTATTATAAAAATATTACTGATCCTAGCATGATCTATCCATATCCATTGATGTTATCAATGCCTAATGGCTTCTAAACATGTTACTGATAAATTGCATCTACTTTGAGTTGAGTATAATACACATGATAAATTGTTGTTTTATCAAATTCCATGTCAACTAGCACGTACTTTCCTCTGCAAGAACTCACCTATGGGAACCCACATATCTGAACCTGGGTCAAATTTCTCACAGGAAGCCAGTACCTGACTGATTCCCCCCACACAACTCATACCCCCCACAGCATAGAGGGATCCATGCAGAGCAGCCATGCCAATGTGTCCCCTTCCAGAGCTTAGAGATCCTCGAGCCACCCACGTGTCACGTTGCACGTCATACACCTGTAGGAGATTTAATTTCTTCTTTTAAGTCACCTCTGGAAACAATGTTTAGGTGACTGAAGTTAATCTTAGCCTGAATTTTGGCAAAATCACTAATGCCTAATATTATATATCAAGGAAATAAATATCTATTATAGAGAAACACATCCTTAAATAACAGAAGCCAAACTAAAAATGTTGTTTTCTTATGTGTCCATATCTTCTGTTTTTTGGGTCTAGTTGTACTAATGTTCAGTGGAAGATCAATATCTAATAAACACTTAATTCTCAGATAATTTCTGCTTCTTCAACTAGGAATTAGATATCATATACAAATTCTTTTTCAGTGTCTAAAGTGGAAGATGAGAAGGAGTAGGCTGACACAACGGAACAGAACAGGCTTGCTATGATGCCAGAGAGAATAAGTTAGGCATGATACATGTTCCCGGGACTGCCTTCCTGGAAAGGTGCTCACCCAGAGTTTTTCTTCGTACTGCCGCATGGACTTGCCACCGGCAACGTAGAGAGCACCATCAAGGAAGGCAGCCGCCGCACCATGGATGGGGAGAGGCAAGTCACAAAGTGGGCGCCAGCTGTTGGTCACCACACTGTAACTTTCGCATGATGCCAGGAACTGGCTGTTCGTCTGACCACCTGAGCCAGGAAATAGGACATTAGGGCACGTTAGCGAATATTTAGTACTACTGCTTCTAATCCAAGGGGCCATACGTATCTTTTTATATTAGAATTTTGGGAGTTTACAAAAGTGGTTTTCATTCAGACTTTGTCCTTCCCTATATATACTGTATTCTAGATTTTTTAATATGACTCTATTTGTATAGTAATATAAAATTATTTGAGTTGAAAATTATAACCGATAGTATAGCAAAATTCTGATAAGACACAACAATTTTATTGATATTTAGGTTCCCATAAAAAAAGGAAATATTTGAAGGCAAGAAGAAGGTATTAATCTATTCCTTGTCTATCCTAGACATAGCAATTAACCACTATTTAGTTGTTTTTTGTAATAATAAGTATGACTTCTAATTTTACTAACAGTGCTAACTTATTTATAACCCAAAGAATCCATACCAGTATCCATGGCAGTATACTTAACTAAGCAGAAAATACTTACATAAGCTTGAGACACAGAAGTAGATAAATGAGAAGGCATTTGGATATACACAGACTAATGTATGACTCTTTAAATTTCTTTCAACATACAAATATGAATTGAAACTTACCCCCAACATCTACCTCAAACTCACCTAGTACATATACAATGTTATCGTGAGTAGCCACGGCACAATAAGCCCGAGCATGACTCATAACAGGAAGAACTTGTAATCGGTGGTAGTGTTGGTTGTGGCGGCCGGCTACCTCTGGTATACTACACCGCCAAGAGGAATAGCCCACAGCAAAGCACTCTGTGTTGCGTAATAACCGGCCATTGGATTCTCCACCCATTACCAGCAATACCTGAAGAGAATATATTATTCTAGTGAAAAAGAGCATAGTTTGATTTACATAAAAAATACAGTACAAATCACAAAGCTTTATTGTTATTCCTGACTACATTTGATATAAAGTCACATTTAAAATGACCATAAGACCTACCTCTTCCTGGGAATTATATCTAGTCTTTTTCACCGTTTCTTCTTGGTCATCTGA